GAAACATAGTTGAGGCATACCAGGATTCAAACCCATGATCATAGCTTACTGGCACTGCCAAGGGATACAACTCTGCAGGGCAAATTGCAGTGCCTTAGACAACTGGGCCACTCTTTCCCCTTCATGAGCATGACAATGAGTGTCAAATACATGACACACACAGCAATGTATTCCATCTCATGTTGGTATCCTGCAATCATGCTAGGCACATCACACAAGAGAGAATTTTATCTTGCACACACATAACCCCCCAGAGTAGACAAGTTGTCACAATGGGTCTACTGGTGTGCACTGATAAACGATAATATAAAATCTTCAATATATCCCACATCATTAGGAATACATTAATAAAATAGCAAAACTAAGTATATCTATGTATATGTCATACATCTCATTGCATCAATTAAAACTCTGGTTAGTCCTAAAGCTTGTGAGTGGGGGTGTGAGTTTGTTCTGCTGCTTTGACCAGTATTTCAGTTACATAAATATCATGGTGTGTCAGCTTGTTGTGAGAGGAAAGCCCTAAGTGATGCATGTCCTAGACATTTACCGCATTGATGAAATCTATGTAGGGTGCTGACAAACCTAGAAACAAAATCAGGGCAAACCTGGGATATGAACCACTGATCATCAGTTTCTTGCACACCTTTATAAACCTCCAGTGATGTCATCCCATTGTCCTGTCAACATCTTTATATCTCATAAAATCCCCAACTTGTGCAATACCCGGGATTTTATATATAAAATCCTGGAAGTTTTATATATAGATATGACACAGTATATATATAAACTCCCCCAGTTTTAAACACCAAATATTATTGATTTTATATTTTCATTGATCAAACTTGCAACCTTCATATCTGCAGACTATTGAGAGAACTCCTTCAAATAAGAGATAGAGAGCTGCTTCAGGTAAGAAATAGAGCTGTGGGTTACTTTATGTAACAGATTTGGGGCTGATTCAAGTAAGATCAGAAGGGCTCCATCAAGTAAAAGCTAGAGGGCTTCTTCAAGTAAGAGATAGATGACTGCTTCAAGTAAGGGCTAGTGGTTGCTTCAAGTAAAGGCTGGAAGGCTGCTTCAAGTAAAGGCTAGTGGATGCTTCAAGTAAAGACTAGAGGGATGCTTCAAGTAAAGGCGAGTTGGCTGCTTCAAGTAAAGGCAAGTGGGCTTCTTCAAGTAAGGGCTAGTGGCTGCTTCAAGTAAAGGCTAGTGGTTGCTTCAAGTAAAGGCTAGGGGGCCACTTCAAGTAAGGGCTTATGGATGCTTCAAGTAAAGACTAGAGGGATGCTTCAAATAAAGGTGAGTAGGCTTAAGTTTTATATATAGATATGACACAGTATAAATTTAAACTCCCCCAGTTTTAAACACCAAATATCATTAATTTTATATTTTCATTGATCAAACTTGCAACCTTCATATCTGCAGACTAGTGAGTGAACACCTTCAAATAAGAGATAGAGAGCTGCTTCAGATAAGAAATAGAGCTGTGGATTACTTTATGTAACAGATTTGGGGCTGATTCATGTAAGATCAGAAGGGCTCCATCAAGTAAGAGCTAGAGGGCTTCTTCAAGTAAGAGATAGATGGCTGCTTCAAGTAAGGGCTAGTGGTTGCTTCAAGTAAAGGCTGGAAGGCTGCTTCAAGTAAAGGCTAGTGGCTGCTTCAGGTAAAGGCTGGAAGGCTGCTTCAAGTAAAGGCTAGTGGATGCTTTAAGTAAGGGCTAGAGGTTTCTTCAAGTAATAGCTAGAGGGCTGCTTCAAGTAAGAGCTAGTGGCTGCTTCAAGTAAGAGCTAGTGGCTGCTTTAAGTAAAGGCAAGTGAGCTGCTTCAAGTAAAGGCAAGTGGGCTGCTTCAAGTAAAGGCTAGTGGCTTCTTCAAGTAATAGCTAGAGGGCTGCTTCAAGTAAGAGCTAGTGGCTGCTTCAAATAAAGGTGAGTAGGCTTCTTCAAGTAAGGGCAAGTGGGCTGCTTCAAGTAAGGGCTAGAGGGCTGCTTCAAGTAAAGACTAGAGGGCTGCTTCAAGTAAAGGTGAGTAGGCTGCTTCAAGTAAAGGCAAGTGGGCTGCTTCAAGTAAGGGCTAGTGGATGCTTCAAGTAAGAGCTAGACAGCGGCTTCAGGTAAGGGATAGTGGCTGCTTCAAGTAAGGGCTAAGGGCTGCTTCAAGTAAAGGCTAGTTGTTGCTTCAAGTAAAGGCTAGGGGGCCACTTCAAGTAAGGGCTTATGGATGCTTCAAGTAAAGACTAGAGGGATGCTTCAAATAAAGGTGAGTAGGCTTAAGTTTTATATATAGATATGACACATTATAAATTTAAACTCCCCCAGTTTTAAACACCAAATATCATTAATTTTATATTTTCATTGATCAAACTTGCAACCTTCATATCTGCAGACTAGTGAGTGAACACCTTCAAATAAGAGATAGAGAGCTGCTTCAGATAAGAAATAGAGCTGTGGGTTACTTTATGTAACAGATTTGGGGCTGATTCATGTAAGATCAGAAGGGCTCCATCAAGTAAAAGCTAGAGGGCTTCTTCAAGTAAGAGATAGATGGCTGCTTCAAGTAAGGGCTAGTGGTTGCTTCAAGTAAAGGCTGGAAGGCTGCTTCAAGTAAAGGCTAGTGGCTGCTTCAGGTAAAGGCTGGAAGGCTGCTTCAAGTAAAGGCTAGTGGATGCTTTAAGTAAGGGCTAGTGGTTTCTTCAAGTAATAGCTAGAGGGCTGCTTCAAGTAAGAGCTAGTGGCTGCTTCAAGTAAGAGCTAGTGGCTGCTTTAAGTAAAGGCAAGTGAGCTGCTTCAAGTAAAGGCAAGTGGGCTGCTTCAAGTAAAGGCTTGTGGCTTCTTCAAGTAATAGCTAGAGGGCTGCTTCAAGTAAGAGCTAGTGGCTGCTTCAAATAAAGGTGAGTAGGCTTCTTCAAGTAAGGGCAAGTGGGCTGCTTCAAGTAAAGACTAGAGGGCTGCTTCAAGTAAGAGCTAGTGGCTGCTTCAAATAAAGGTGAGTAGGCTGCTTCAAGTAAGGGCTAGAGGGCTGCTTCAAGTAAAGACTAGAGGGCTGCTTCAAGTAAAGGTGAGTAGGCTGCTTCAAGTAAAGGCAAGTGGGCTGCTTCAAGTAAGGGCTAGTGGATGCTTCAAGTAAGAGCTAGACAGCGGCTTCAGGTAAGGGATAGTGGCTGCTTCAAGTAAGGGCTAAGGGCTGCTTCAAGTTGGGGCTAGTGGCTGCTTCAAGTAGGGCTAGAGGGCTGCTTCAAGTAAGGGCTAGTTTCGGGTGGGAGGAAAGCACAGGTATGGTGCTGACAAATCTAGAAACATAATCGAGGCAAACCAGGATTCAAACCAATGATCATCGCTTACTGGCACTTGTAAGAAATACAATCAAACGTTCTGGATGTCAGTGGATGACTTTCTTCAGAGTAATATGAGAATCCCCCATTATCTTGGAAATCTTGCCAGGGACTCTAAAAGAGATATAACCAGGTTGATCCCTGTTACACCAAACAAACTCTGGTATGTCCTGAAGCTTGTTAGTACAGCTGACATTATGATTGGCCCTGGCAGAAGCAACTGTCCATGACTACACCACACTGTATGATTCCTTCAGTTTGTAAACCTTCCAACCAAGTCACTTAGTAAATGTGTCCTTCAACCCGTGAAGATTCCGGGGTAGAATAGGTCTTCAGCAACCCATGCTTGCCGTAAAGGTGACTATGCTTGTCATAAAAGGTGACTAACGGGATCGGGTGGTCAGGCTCGTTGACATCGATCCAAATTGCGTGGATCGATGCTCATGATATCAATCAATGGATTGTCTGGTCCAGACTCGATTATTTACATTACATTTATTATTATTGACCGCCGTCATATAGCTGGAATATTGCTGAGTGCGGCGTTAAACAACAAACAACCAACCAACCAACCAAATGTGTCCTTCAATTGACAGAATTGTCATTCAGAAGTTGCTGACAGTATTGTCACGTATGTTCAGAACTCTGAACTACAATAAAGCACAACAATTATAATTCCTGAATGGGTGTATCCCATAATGATGTGCATACAAAGTTTCATGAAGAAATATCCAATGGTGTATGTGCTACTATCTGGACACCAAGTCTCCCCTAAATGGAACCAGGTATGTCGTCAACAGTTTCAAATTTTAACAAGAGTCATCCGAAGATGACATATTCCCCCGACGTGGCATGCCTGAGTAAGATCCAGAGATAACTGGCGACCTTTCCCAGCTATAGCTGATGATGGCGCTTGACAAAGGTAGCAGTAGAGTTGTCAGGAGTATCCAGAAGATCGACGGGACGAAATATCTCACAAGGCGCGGGCGAATAAAAATCTAATTGCAAGCTATAAACCACAAACAAGCGGATGTATCAAGCATGGAAAGGATATATGGAAGTAATGCCACCTAAAAACGAAATTTGAAGATAATTAACAAGGTAAGTTGAACTCTGTTCCTGTACACGTCTGTCCGTAGGGCCAACAGAGAAGGATATGAGGGGTAGGGGCCAAGGGGGATAACTCGTGGATGCCTAGGCACGGACTGTAGTCTGTTTAAACTGTCTCTTCGTTCCAGTACTGTCTGTTTGTATGAGGTAGGGAAACTAAAGCACTGTGTAGCATCAGGTAAGGTAAAACATATAATTTCCCCTATGCTGATTTCCTAGCTAGAGCTGTCTAGACTTGCTTTTGTATACGTTTCTAGATTGGTGTTGTTTTCATAAAATATGGTGCAGGACTAATGTTTTACAAGCAGATATTTTCCTTGATAAATGTTGGCTTCATCTATCACATAAGAGTTCAGAATGCCGTAAAGGCATGCCCCCAAATCCCCCCTAGATAGCTTCACGCCTACTGTGTTCCAGGGGACCCCATTATTTGCGAGAACAACGCAAACACTGACATAAATACTTAGAACTAAATACTAACACAAAAAAAGATTCATGTTGAAAATTGGGATTGAACCTCTTGAACTAGTCTAGTTGTGTGTCGAGAGTGCTACCTGTGTCAGTTTGGCTGGAGTGCTGTGTTGGGAGTGTTCATGGACAGACACGTACATGGGGTTGGCCAGACTCAGGCGTGCAAGGTCTTTCACCGACCTGAAAGACAAAAGTTGCTTGAGAATGCAAATAGATTGTAATAAATAAAATAAACCTAGAAACCATTAGGCAATATTTAAACATACATGGTTCATACGTGGTTCATACAAAACATGAACTACCAAACTTGGGGCCTTTTTACGGCATTTATTAACCCCTTCAAGGCAAAATTATGACAAAGTATTTATAAGGACATCCATTTTCAATACACTTTGAATGTATAAATGGTAAAGTACTGACAATGAAAGAAAGTGTTACTTCATTGTCAGAATTTTTACTTCCAAATATGACATTAACATTATCAAGTCCACACACCATGCAATTTAAGGATTACAGTTTACATGTAGCCGTGACATTTTGAGGGTATTTTAATGTCATAATTCGGTTCCTTTGTATATCTATTTTACAATGATTGGATGTAACATGTTGTTTTATATTTTAAGGTTTAAAGGTAAAATAAGAATGAAAATAATGTATAAGTCATAAAAAGGTTGTTAAAAATATTGATGGTTGGTGGCAGTATTCTAATGTTTGTGGTTTTAAGCGAATGTCAATTAGATTGACATTTGGTTTTGTTTATCTCTTAGTTCCTATGAATTTCATTTATCTGAATGGTTATGACGTCAGAGTTATGTAAAGGATAATGCTGGATCAAGAGTATTGCCTCATTCTTGATCCAGGATGAAAGTTGTTTATCACCTGACCCTAATTCTTAACTTCTCATTGGCTAATTTAAAAAACTAAGATAGTCTTCTTTGCACCAATCTAACCAACTCACAATCACAGCACCGCACAGGCAACAACAAGGTGGCAGTAGGATTCAACAGGTCAGTTAAATACTTAAACACTAAATTATGTTTAGATTTATTATGTCTTTTACATGTTCATTAAGTATGTTGTTTCTTAGAAATTAATGTCATTTTGTATCTTGTTAAAAATGATAAGGTTAAAGAATGTATTTAAGTATCTAAAGTATCTGATGTTTTGTCAACTAAGTCAAACCTAAAGTCCAAGTGGTTGTGTAGAAAGTTGCAACAAATGTTCTGATTAGAGTTTAAAATAGTTATTAAATGTCAGCTTTTGTCAGTTGGCTGTGTGTGTATATATATATGGAGTGGTTTTGTTTGAATGGTGTGGGCGGAGACCCTGAGTGATGGTGGGTGCATTGTCACAATGTTGTATGATTGTGTTTGTGAATTACAGGCAATCTATGGTCATCGAACGTGAGTCACCACGTTCAATTACATGGCTCATTCCACAAATAGGTAAGGCTCATTAGCATGTTTAAATATATTTTATCTTCATGTACACTTTGTATGTAGCCTTTGAGGGTTACTACGTGCCTATTTAAATGTACGTCAGCTTACTTGTGGAATTATGTGTATGTTAGATATATGTGTAAATATTGTTTTAATTTTGAGTATGTGGGCAAAATGTTGTATTTGGCGGGAAATTGTCTCCCTTGGCATGACAACATGTGTCATCACTTATAGATAAATTTGTAACAATTTACAATGTATTATGAGATACCATAGTATTAATATATTCTTTATATAAGCTACTTTTGATATGAATGTATAACTGATATAATGTATGGCCGTTTCTATTCTGTTGTAATTGTTTCAGGGCCATTTTCTCCCTTTCTCCATTCCGTCATTTCTACGTTTATTCATCTGAATAAAAAAAACGATCACAACCCCACAGCGAGTCATATCTTGGCGTCAAACCAGCTGTAACATACACATTACATGAATAATATATGCTGATTCAACATATTGCAAATTGCCACTCTCTTCAATCCCATAACACAGAACCCACATGGCACTTGAACTCTCATCTAGAAGCTGCTCAAAACCTACAGAAGGAGGAGGGTAAGATGGACCTAAGACAATCTTAGGGCTGTTGTATCAGGATATGAATATTAAAATATTGGACATTTTATAATAAATTTTATATTTACATACTTATCCTATCTCACACTATACATATCTTCTTTCTTCTCCGATATGTGGAACTTGCTTGAACCCTGTTTCCAACTTCTAAAACAAAAACATTTGCCCGAACACACACCAGCATCTCTATGGTTATGACCAACAACTGGGTCAGTTATGTGCTCCTGTGCACGGTCACCTTCCACGCCTTGACCACATACATCTCTCTACCAACTCATTCTCTTCCTTAGAGCTATAATGCTAGAGGAATTGAGATGCGGGGATGGTCGGATGGGCATAACCCATGTGAGATAGGATAAGTATCAATTTATCAATTTATACTTAAAATGTCATGAAAGTGGGGCAATTGTAAATAACAGATCAGGCTGGCCAGGAAGTTGATTCTTTGCTAGAAAATCCCAACAAAGACCTAGGAATGCCCTTCCGCTTCTGGAGCATTTGAACTGGATAGATAGAGCATTGCAAGGGCCGGATGGAGCCACTGACAAATGGCCTCAAGGAGACATTCTGCAAACATTTGATTCGACTAACCACAATTGTAGATGTGGGTGGAGATGGATCGGTAGACATATCTACATTAAACAATCGTTGATCGTGATGAATGGCCCGAGAAAGTGTTGAAGTGTTCGTAGATACAGTTTGGCTCGGACGGTGAGCCGATGAGGGCTTGCTCTGACGTCAGGAGTCCCATGAGCTGTTGCCATTGTCGAGCTGGAGTGTTTGTTTGAGTGCCAATGGAACATATCGTTGAATCTTCATCCAACGGTCGTGAGAGACAAACATCTTGGCTCGTCGAGTGTCGAAGAGAGCCATGATGAATTTGAGTCGCAGAGTGGGAATGAACTCGGACTTGTCGATGTTGATCAACCAGCAAAGCTTTTGTAGAAGACGACATGTGAAATCAAGTTCTTGACAAAGGATATCAGCATCTGCGTGCGCTTGAATGCAATCGGCGAGATAAGAATGGGACACGACCCCACGGAGATGTAGGAATTTTAAGATGGGCTGAGTAAGGGGGGTAAATAGGCACATTGCCGAAGAAATTCCACACGGGAGCACCTTCCATTGGTAATGGCGGCACTGAAAATAAATCGAAGGAAATGGCAGTGCTCCCAGTGGATGGGGACGTGCAGATAAGCATCTTGTAGATTGAGACTGACCATGAAATTGCTGGGATGAATGAGCATTCAAAGGAGCGTGCTTGATGTCATGCAGTAGTGAGGTGGAATTTTCAAATTCTTCAAGTTGAAAATCTTAATGTTGAAGATAAGCCATAGTTATAGACTGCTTTCTGAAAGGAAGATTGGTGTATAAAACACAGGGTCGCAGGAAATGGCCCCAAGGTATGCTGTGGCAAAATTTTAATATCAACGTACGTATAGTGTGGATCATAGTTGGTAGTTGTCTGGCTGGTTAGTCTCTCTGCAGAGCTTAGCACATAATGGTAGGAGTGACCATCACTGGTAGTCGATATCCTTCCTGGAGTAGTGTCACAAGGGGATCTGTGAGGATACTCAAGTTGTCTACTAACAGTCCCAGTCTGTCCCCGACAGGAGACACTGTAACAGAACGACTGGAGGTGGAAAGTGCCTTATTTGTCATTTATCTGTAAAGTTTCCCCTCGGGAAGCCTCTCCGGGGTTCCGTAGATACCCGCCCGCAAAAAGGAGTAGAACGGGAGGAGGTAAGGACTCGAAGATCAGGCTGAACCGACACAGACTGTGGATGCCTATGCTCCTTCTTCTCTTGATCTTCCAGTTTCTGGAGTGGAAGCAGTTTCTGTTGTCCTCCCGTACTTCTTGTGCGATCTGTTGGATCACTTTGGCAAAGAGAGTATGTGAAGCTCATGGTCGTTGAGTTAAACTGATCGTCCCAAGACCAATGATGGAGAATACCACGGTGGCAATACGCTGTCATGGAACCAGTGTGGAGAAGTGGCGGAAGGAAGAGAAGGCCATGTCCAAGTTAGAGGAGATAACCAACAAAACGGGTCTAGGAGGGAGTGTAAGGTTGGAGGAGGTGGCTGATGGTACTGCCAATCCTGTTAGTTGATCTGCAGCCGAGGCTGTACACAGTAGCTGTAATTTGTCCCCAATCCAATGAAGGACTGACACAGGATCAATTTTGAAACTGCCTGCAGAGGTGGATGGAGACAGGTGCGGAGCTAAACCTCTAGGTAAGCATGAGACTTCTGCTGATGTATCTGGTGGAGTAGGGTTGACTGCTGCTGAGACTGAAGCCACAGTTCTGGGAGGGGCTGAGTGGGAGGTGACTGAAGCTTGCTCTGAACCTGAAATTGATTGGTGAGAGGAGGATCGCCGTGGAGACCACCTGAACAAAGGAATGGAAGGAAGGTTCCCCCCCATCACTGCTGATCGCGGTGGTCCAAACTTGTGGGCAAGATCGGAGCCCAAGACTGTTGAGGGATCGAACCAGGGTCCACTTGCACAAAGCGATCATAGCGCTACAATTATTGTAAATCCTTAAGATCGCGATCATTGAATGAATCTACAAATAAATACAAGCTAAAGCAAATCATACATGTTTAAATCTAAAATCAAATGGGACGGGGACGAGCGGTTAAATATCAGAATTTAAAAGAAAAAAATACAAGTATTCATCAAACAAGCAAATATATATGATGAAACATTTGCATTTTTGGCAAAATATCCCATAAATAGCAAAAATAAAATTCACACTTTTAAAAAAAACAACAAGCATACAGTCGACGAAGTCATCTATATCCCACGCCATTTTAACACGTTATGGTCCCAAACCAGGTAACTGACCCAACATTTCTCTTAGGCCCTGTCAAAATAGCTGCAATGGAAATTCTAAGATAAACATTTATAAAACTCCTTAATATCAAATGGCACCAGTTTAATATGTGTCTGGTAAACATGCAAAGTTTTGTAAGAAATTATTTAACGTTTTTTTAGTTACGCTCCGGAAACGAACAGCACCCTTATAGAACCTAAGTCCAACTTGTTGCCATGGAAACGTAAAAAATGAAAAGTTATAAAATTCTTAAATAGCAAAAGGCACCAGTTCAGCATGAGTCTGATAGACATGCAAGAAATAGAAATATTTAACGGTTTCTGAGTTATGCTCCGGAAACGATTTCGGGACGCACGCATGAACACACGCACGCACACATGCACACACGGACGGAACCCATTTCTATATCCCCTGCCAACTTCGTTGGGGCGGGGGATAAAAATTAATACTCAGTGAATATATAATTATAAACAATTGCTTTCTCGAAACATTATTCATTATTCTTATTTCCCGTCTATGCGTTTTTGAAAGTTCCCGTCTTTCTGTGTTATGAAATGGTAGTCATAACAAAACGAAAACATGAAGGATATATTTAGGATTTTACGAAAAGCTCCCCCAAACAGATGACGATCATGCATTTACACGTTATGGTTTTAGGAAATATTATTATTATTTATTTTAATTTTCATAATAATTGTGTTACTAAATAATGTATTTATTTGTATTTCAATACTTTGAATAAAAACATAAGTAGGTATTTCTCTTGTTGAAATAGAAAACAATTCCTAAATCACGACAGTATTAATGCCGACAAAAATATATGCCTTCATTCTAGTAATTGTTTCCTTCAAATAATTGGGACCTTTCTTGAAACTGCAAAGTGCGATGGAGGGAGGTACGTGTTGCTGTTACCAGTTCCACTTATTGTATGAGCAGCAAACTATGCGTGTTGGCAGACAACTGTAGAAAGGAGTCGAGTTAAAAATATTCGTACCTCCACCGTTGAAGATTTCAATCTTAGCTAAGACCGCGATCTTAACTCCAAGCCGTCTTACAATCGCGCTAAGATCAGTTTGTGCAAGTGGAATAGGACAATTGTATGGTGATTGTAAAGTTGATTGTAGCTGCCTAAGATCAATTGTAACTAAGATTGTTCTGTGCAAGTGGGCCCAGGAATCCGGTGATTTATGTGCTGAACGAGTACCAATTCGGGAGTGGTGACGTGCCTGATCTGAATCTGGTGGTGAACATCGAACCCTAGGTGGAGGATTACCACCGTAAGGTCGAGCAAGGGGTGGATGACGAAGCTGGGAACGATCATGGTCTGTAGAGGATCGGTAATCTGCAAATCCTGGAGGGCACGGGTATTGGTATCTCAGGTAGTACGCTGCATGGGTGTCATATTGTGAACACTCCTACTTGCCGGCTGGTGATGGTAATGCCGATCCTTAGAGCGGGAGCGCATATCCTGATCCTTAGCCCCCTATCTTCGATCCTGTGTAGCTTCTTTCTGACAATCCCGAGATAGACGATCAGGAGTATCCTGATGAGTAGCCTTGGAAAGAGCAGTCAGAATATTGTTCCTCCTATGATCGTGTAAGTGTGACAATTCTGAGAATGGGATCTTGAACGGAGGAGAGTAAAGTGCATTCACCGAACTTAAAGATGGGGTTGACTCAAGAACAGTGAGTAGCACAGACCAAACGAGACCGATGAGCAGTGAGATCGGGACGGTCACATCGTAATCTGTAATGGAGTGTATGGGCCTTTCAGAATGAACGGGCAAAGCAAATTTTGTTTTCTTAGATGATGATTTCCTGGACTCTTTAGACTTTGATCTGCGGTCTAGCATTCATCTGTGGTATCTCTGGATGTAGATACGGAAAGCAGAATCTTCTAAGGAATGACACTCTGTGCATCTAGATTCCAAATTACACTGGCCACAATAATGGCAGCACAACTTGTGCAGGTCTGATGTAAAATTAGTATGTCTGCATTTAGCACAGGTGTGAAGTGTGTCCTTCTTTCCCATGTTGTAGACTGTCTCAAACCGCAAATGTCTCTGAAAAAACAAAAATGTATTCTCTAGGTCCAAGCAATACATCAAAACACATGGTGGCAATTAGAAAGGTAATGAGTTGGTAGAGAGATGAATGTGGTCAAAGCGTGGAAGGTGACCGTGCACAAGAGCACATAATTGACCCAGTTGTTGGTCATAACCATAGAGATGCTGGTGTGTGTTCGGGCAAATGTTTTTGATTTAGAAGCTCGAAACAGGGTTCAAGCAAGTTTCCACAGAGGATCGAAGAAGAAAGAAGATTTGTATAAAGTGAGATAGGATAAGTTTAAAAATTATGGAATACTAAACTCACTCCCATGTAATACCAATTTTTATGGAACGAGTGAACAGTTCTGATATCTAGTATACTAGAACTATTCACGAGGCAGTGAGTTTAGTATTTAATTCATTATTTGCCGTTATAATTTCTATTTAAATATTTCACTGTCGTGTGTGAAAAGGCAGACACAGATTACTCCAATTGTGTTTAACAGAATAATACTTCAAACAAGTCAAAAGTTGATACTTATTAAATTAAAAAACAAACAAAGGCCCAGCCTCAGAATTCAGTGGTCCGTACCACAAAGCTATCGTAGCGTTAAAGTTATCGTAACTCCTATACTTTAACATAGACTTACGACTGTTGTTGTGCTACAATTGCGCTGCGTGAGTTGTGTTTAACACTGATTCTAACAGAAGAAGAACATAGTGCTTAATCCACACCGTGTATTGATGTATTGTAAATTGCAACCAGATGATACACTATGCCTAACCAGATATCAATTCATGGCTTAATCAGGTGTATTTTGTAATAACCTGTCCTGACACCTACTCAGGCTAGTGTTACCTTACTATCTCCTACTTGGGAGGACAACCCAAAGTGATGAAAGTGTTGGACATTTACACACAAGCATGGTTATGGTGCTGAAAAACATAGAAACATAATCAGGGCAAATCTGGGATAAGACCCCATGATCAGAGTGTCCTGGCATGTCCATTGGACAAAACTGTGCATAACTAGTGGCAGCACCTTAGATGACTGGGCCATGGTTGTCCCTGAGCCACCAGCAATATGTTTCGATACACGGGACAGACATATCATGACACCTCCACTCTTGGGTCCAAACCATGCAACTGTTTCTTAACCTACTTGGTCTGTGTGGCAGAGAAGAGAAGGGTTTGTCTTTCTGCAGGCAGATTCTCTATGATGGCATTCATGGTCTGAGCAAAACCCATGTCCAGAATTCGATCGGCTTCATCCAACACTGAAACATGAATGGTCAATGTCATTTCACAATGTACAAATGAAAAAACAAAGATCAGGACCACATTCACCAGAGTTAGTACAAGTCTGTCCCTAGTAGTACTGTGCCATGCTTCTCAGTTCTCAGCCCTTAAACACTCAACAGGACCACATTCACCAGAGTTAGTACAAGTCTGTCCCTAGTAGAACTGTGACCTGCTTCTCAGTTCTCAGCCCAACAACACTCAACAGGACCACATTCACCAGAGTTAGTACAAGTCTGTCCCTAGGAGTACTGTGCCATGCTTCTCAGTTCTCAGTCCCTAAACACTCAACAGGACCACATTCACCAGAGTTAGTACAAGTCTGTCCCTAGTAGTACTGTGCCATGCTTCTCAGTTCTCAGTCCCTAAACACTCAACAGGACCACATTCACCAGAGTTAGTACAAGTCTGTCCCTAGTAGTACTGTGCCCTGCTTCTCAGTTCTCAGCCCCTAAACACTCAACAGGACCACATTCACCAGAGTAAGTACAAGTCTGTCCCTAGTAGTACTGTGCCCTGCTTCTCAGTTCTCAGCCCCTAAACAATCAACAGGACCACATTCACCAGAGTTAGTACAAGTCTGTCCCTAGTAGTACTGTGCCATGCTTCTCAGTTCTCAGCCCAACAACACTCAACAGGACCATATTCACCAGAGTTAGTACAAGTCTGTCCCTAGGAGTACTGTGCCATGCTTCTCAGTTCTCAGCCCCTAAATACTCAACAGGACCACATTCACCAGAGTTAGTACAAGTCTGTCCCTAGTAGTACTGTGCCATGCTTCTCAGTTCTCAGTCCCTTAACACTCAACAGGACCACATTCACCAGAGTTAGTACAAGTCTGTCCCTAGTAGTACTGTGCCATGCTTCTCAGTTCTCAGCCCCTAAACACTCAACAGGACCACATTCACCAGAGTTAGTACAAGTCTGTCCCTAGTAGTACTGTGCCATGCTTCTCAGTTCTCAGCCCCTAAACACTCAACAGGACCACATTCACCAGAGTTAGTACAAGTCTGTCCCTAGTAGTACTGTGCCATGCTTCTCAGTTCTCAGCCCCTAAACACTCAACAGGACCACATTCACCAGAGTTAGTACAAGTCTGTCCCTAGTAGTACTGTGCCATGCTTCTCAGTTCTCAGCCCCTAAACACTCAACAGGACCACATTCACCAGAGTTAGTACAAGTCTGTCCCTAGTAGTACTGTGCCATGCTTCTCAGTTCTCAGCCCCTAAACACTCAACAGGACCACATTCACCAGAGTTAGTACAAGTCTGTCCCTAGTAGTACTGTGCCATGCTTCTCAGTTCTCAGCCCCTAAACACTCAACAGGACCACATTCACCAGAGTTAGTACAAGTCTGTCCCTAGTAGTACTGTGCCATGCTTCTCAGTTCTCAGCCCCTAAACACTCAACAGGACCACATTCACCAGAGTTAGTACAAGTCTGTCCCTAGTAGTACTGTGCCATGCTTCTCAGTTCTCAGCCCCTAAACACTCAACAGGACCACATTCACCAGAGTTAGTACAAGTCTGTCCCTAGTAGTACTGTGCCATGCTTCTCAGTTCTCAGCCCTAAACACTCAACAGGACCACATTCACCAGAGTAAGTACAAGTCTGTCCCTAGTAGTACTGTGCCCTGCTTCTCAGTTCTCAGCCCCTAAACACTCAACAGGACCACATTCACCAGAGTTAGTACAAGTCTGTCCCTAGTAGTACTGTGCCATGCTTCTCAGTTCTCAGCCCCTAAACACTCAACAGGACCATATTCACCAGAGTTAGTACAAGTCTGTCCCTAGGAGTACTGTGCCATGCTTCTCAGTTCTCAGCCCCTAAACACTCAACAGGACCACATTCACCAGAGTTAGTACAAGTCTGTCCCTAGTAGTACTGTGCCATGCTTCTCAGTTCTCAGCCCCTAAACACTCAACAGGACCACATTCACCAGAGTTAGTACAAGTCTGTCCCTAGTAGTACTGTGCCATGCTTCTCAGTTCTCAGTCCCTAAACACTCAACAGGACCACATTCACCAGAGTTAGTACAAGTCTGTCCCTAGTAGTAATGTGCCATGCTTCTCAGTTCTCAGCCCCTAAACACTCAACAGGACCACATTCACCAGAGTTAGTATAAGTCTGTCCCTAGGAGTACTGTGCCATGCTTCTCAGTTCTCAGCCCCTAAACACTCAACAGGACCACATTCACCAGAGTTAGTACAAGTCTGTCCCTAGTAGTACTGTGCCATGCTTCTCAGTTCTCAGCCCCTAAACACTCAACAGGACCACATTCACTAGAGTTAGTACAAGTCTGTCGTCCCTAGTAGTACTGTGCCATGCTTCTCAGTTGTCAGCCCTAAACACTCAACAGGACCACATTCACCAGAGTTAGTACAAGTCTGTCCCTAGTAGTACTGTGCCATGCTTCTCAGTTCTCAGCCCCTAAACACTCAACAGGACCACATTCACTAGAGTTAGTACAAGTCTGTCGTCCCTAGTAGTACTGTGCCATGCTTCTCAGTTGTCAGCCCCTAAACACTCAACAGGACCACATTCACCAGAGTTAGTACAAGTCTGTCCCTAGTAGTACTGTGCCATGCTTCTCAGTTCTCAGCCCCTAAACACTCAACAGGACCACATTCACCAGAGTTAGTACAAGTCTGTCCCTAGTAGTACTGTGCCATGCTTCTCAGTTCTCAGTCCCTAAACACTCAACAGGACCACATTCACCAGAGTTAGTACAAGTCTGTCCCTAGTAGTACTGTGCCCTGCTTCTCAGTTCTCAGTCCCTAAACACTCAACAGGACCACATTCACCAGAGTTAGTACAAGTCTGTCCCTAGTAGTACTGTGCCATGCTTCTCAGTTCTCAGCCCTAAACACTCAACAGGACCACATTCACCAGAGTTAGTACAAGTCTGTCCCTAGTAGTACTGTGCCATGCTTCTCAGTTCTCAGTCCCTAAACACTCAACAGGACCACATTCACCAGAGTTAGTACAAGTCTGTCCCTAGTAGTACTGTGCCATGCTTCTCAGTTCTCAGCCCCTAAACACTCAACAGGACCACATTCACCAGAGTTAGTACAAGTCTGTCCCTAGTAGTACTGTGCCATGCTTCTCAGTTCTCAGCCCTAAACACTCAACAGGACCACATTCACCAGAGTTAGTACAAGTATGTCCCTAGTAGTACTGTGCCATGCTTCTCAGTTCTCAGCCCCTAAACACTCAACAGGACCACATTCACCAGAGTTAGTACAAGTCTGTCCCTAGTAGTACTGTGCCCTGCTTCTCAGTTCTCAGCCCTAAACACTCAACAGGACCACATTCACCAGAGTTAGTACAAGTCTGTCCCTAGTAGTACTGTGCCATGCTTCTCAGTTCTCAGCCCCTAAACACTCAACAGGACCACATTCACCAGAGTTAGTACAAGTCTGTCCCTAGTAGTACTGTGCCATGCTTCTCAGTTCTCAGTCCCTAAACAATCAACAGGACCACATTCACCAGAGTTAGTACAAGTCTGTCCCTAGTAGTACTGTGCCATGCTTCTCAGTTCTCAGCCCCTAAACACTCAACAGGACCACATTCACCAGAGTTAGTACAAGTCTGTCCCTAGTAGTACTGTGCCATGCTTCTCAGTTCTCAGTCCCTTAACACTCAACAGGACCACATTCACCAGAGTTAGTACAAGTCTGTCCCTAGTAGTACTGTGCCATGCTTCTCAGTTCTCAGCCCCTAAACACTCAACAGGACCACATTCACCAGAGTTAGTACAAGTCTGTCCCTAGTAGTACTGTGCCATGCTTCTCAGTTCTCAGCCCTAAACACTCAACAGGACCACATTCACCAGAGTTAGTACAAGTCTGTCCCTAGTAGTACTGTGCCATGCTTCTCAGTTGTCAGCCCCTAAACACTCAACAGGACCACATTCACCAGAGTTAGTACAAGTCTGTCCCTAGTAGTACTGTGCCATGCTTCTCAGTTCTCAGCCCCTAAACACTCAACAGGACCACATTCACCAGAGTTAGTACAAGTCTGTCCCTAGTAGTACTGTGCCATGCTTCTCAGTTCCTAAACACTCAACAGGACCACATTCACCAGAGTTAGTACAAGTCTGTCCCTAGTAGTACTGTGCCATGCTTCTCAGTTCTCAGCCCCTAAACACTCAACAGGACCACATTCACCAGAGTTAGTACAAGTCTGTCCCTAGTAGTACTGTGCCATGCTTCTCAGTTCTCAATCCCTAAACACTCAACAGGACCACATTCACCAGAGTTAGTACAAGTCTGTCCCTAGGAGTACTGTGCCCTGCTTCTCAGTTCTCAGCCCCTAAACACTCAACAGGACCACATTCACCAGAGTTAGTACAAGTCTGTCCCTAGGAGTACTGTGCCCTGCTTCTCAGTTGTCAGTCCCAAGACACTCATCAGTAGCATGTTCAACCTACTCCTTCACTTGATCCTCCCAAAGCATGGACATCATGCTACACTGTGCCTTCATCCAGTCTACATGGTCTACGTCTAGTCATTCCTACCATGTGTAAAATTAGGGCATTTTCCCAGTGAAACAAAGGGATTAACTGTCATATTGACAAACATCACAAGAATCACAAACTAAGTGATATTTTAATGAAAAAATCAAACTTGCTAGGACAGCCAACTTTCCCAAGCCTAGCCCCCAATAGATACACCCAGTGAAGATCAGTGTAAAAATTGGTCTACAGCAACTCATGTTTGCCATAACAGGTGACTAACGGGATCAGGCGGTCAGGCTCGCTGACTTGGTCGATGCATGTCATCGTATCCAAACTGCACAGAGTGATGCTCATGATGTCAATCACTGGATTGTCTGATCCAGACTCGATCATGTACAGACCGCCATCATGAAGCTGGAATATTGCTGAATACAGCGTTAAACAACAAACATCAATATACATCTTACTTGCTGAACATAGAGAGAAACAGAACAAAACCCTCAACATAGAACATTCTTTAGGGTTGTGAAGGTATTGAACTTACCTAGTATCTGCAGAGCATCTGCTGTAAAGTTGACAGTCTCATCCATGTGCTGCAGTAGTCGCCCTGGCGTACAGATCACGATATTCGTCTGGTTGATACGCTCAGACTCCTCCTTCAGATGCTGAAAGTAACAAACTTACACACTGTACTCATGGCAACTGTTACACTGTACTCATGGCAACTGTTACACTGTAATCATGACAACTGTTACACTGTACTCATTCCAACTGTTACACACTGTACTCATGGCAACTGTTACACACTGTACTCAAGGCAACTGTTACACACTGTACTCATGGCAACTGTTACACACTGTACTCATGGCAACTGTTACACACTGTACCCATGGCAACTGTTACACACTGTACTCACGGCAACTGTTACACTGTACTCATGGCAACTGTTACACTGTATTCATGGCAACTGTTAAACACTGTACTCATGGCAACTGTTACACACTGTACTCAAGGCAACTGTTACACACTGTACTCATGGCAACTGTTACACACTGTACTCATGGCAACTGTTACACACTGTACTCATGGCAACTGTTACACACTGTACTCATGGCAACTGTTACACACTGTACTCATGGCAACTGTTACACACTACTCATGGCAACTATTACACACTGTACTCATGGCAACTGTTACACACTGTACTCATTGCAACTGTTACACACTACTCATGGCAACTGTTACACACTGTACTCATGGCAACTATTACACACTACTCATGGCGTACTAGTGGCAACTCAGATCCAGACTACCCGTGGCAATTCGCACGCTGCAAACTAGTGGCAACTAACATCCAAACTACTCGTGGCAACTCACACGCTGCATACTAGTGGCAACTCACATCCAGACTACTCGTTGCATCTCACACGCTGTGTACTAGTGGCAACTCAAATCCAGACTACTCATGGCAAATCGCACGCTGTGTACTAGTGGCTACTCACATCCAGACTACTCGTGGCTACTCACATCCAGACTACTCGTTGCATCTCACACGCTGTGTACTAGTGGCAACTCAAATCCAGACTACTCTTGGCAACTCACACGCTGTGTACTAGTGGCTACTCACATCCAGACTACTTGTGGCTACTCACATCCAGACTACTCATGGCAACTCACACGCTGTGTACTAGCGGCAACTAACATCCAGACTACTCATGGCAACTCACATCCAGACTACTCGTGGCAACTCACATCCAGACTACTCATGGCTACTCACATCCAGACTACTCGTGGCAACTCACATCCAGACTACTCATGGCTACTCACATCCAGACTACTCATGGCAACTCACATCCAGACTACTCGTGGCAACTCACATCCAGACTACTCATGGCTACTCACATCCAGACTACTCATGGCAACTCACACGCTGTGTACTAGTGGCTACTCACATCCAGACTACTCGTGGCTACTCACATCCAGACTACTCGTGGCTACTCACATCCAGACTACTCATGGCAACTCACACGCTGTGTACTAGTGGCAACTAACATCCAGACTACTCGTGGCAACTCACACGCTGTGTACAAGTGGCAACTAACATCCAGACTACTCCTGGCTACTCACATCCAGACTACTCTTGGCAACTCACACGCTGTGTACTAGTGCTAACTAACATCCAGACTACTTGTGGCAACTAACATCCAGACTACTCGTGGCAACTCGCACGCTGTGTACTAGTGGCAACTCACATCCAGACTACTCATGGCAACTCACACGCTGTGTACTTGCGGCAACTAACATTCAGACTACTCATGGCAACTCACACGCTGTAAACTAGTGGTAACTCACATCCAGACTACTTGTGGCTACTCACACGCTGTGTACTAGTGGCAACTCACATCCAGACTACTTGTGGCATCTCACATGCTGTGTACTAGTGGCAACTCACATCCAGACTTCTCGTGGCATCTCACACGCTGTGTACTAGTGGCAACTCACATCCAGACTACTCGTGGCAACTCACATCCAGACTACTCATGGCAACGCACACGCTGTGTACTAGTGGCTATTTACATCCAGACTACTCGTGGCAACTCACACGCTGTGTACTAGTGGCAACTCACACGCTGTGTACTAGTGGCAACTCACATCCAGACTACTCGTGGCAACTCACATCCGGACTACTCTTGGCAACGCACACGCTGTGTACTAGTGGCTATTTACATCCAGACTACTCGTGGCAACTCACACGCTGTGTACTAGTGGCAACTCACATCCAGACTACTCGTGGCAACTCACATCCAGACTACTCGTGGCAACTCACACGCTGTGTACTAGTGGCAACTCACATCCAGACTACTCGTGGCAACTCACACACTGTGTACTAGTGGCTACTCACATCCAGACTACTCGTGGCTACTCACATCCAGACTACTCATGGCAACTCACGCGCTGTGTACTAGCGGCAACTAACATCCAGACTACTCTTGGCAACTCACACGCTGTGTACTAGTGGCTACTCACATCCAGAATAATCTTGGCAACTCACATCCAGATTACTCATGGCAACTCACACGCTGTGTACTAGTGGCTATTTACATCCAGACTACTCGTGGCAACTCACACGCTGTGTACTAGTGGCTATTTACATCCAGACTACTCGTGGCAACTCACACGCTGTGTACTAGTGGCAACTCACATCCAGACTACTCGTGGCAACTCACATCCAGACTACTCGTGGCAACTCACACGCTGTGTACTAGTGGCAACTCAAATCCAGACTACTCGTGGCAACTCACACACTGTGTACTAGTGGCTACTCACATCCAGACTACTCGTGGCTACTCACATCCAGACTACTCATGGCAACTTACGCGCTGTGTACTAGCGGCAACTAACATCCAGACTACTCATGGCAACTCACACGCTGTGTACTAGTGGCTACTCACATCCAGACTACTCGTGGCTACTCACATCCAGACTACTCGTGGCTACTCACATCCAGACTACTCATGGCAACTCACACGCTGTGTACTAGTGGCAACTAACATCCAGACTACTCATGGCTACTCACATCCAGACTACTCTTGGCAACTCACATCCAGACTACTCATGGCAACTCACATCCAGACTACTCTTGGCAACTCACATCCAGACTACTCTTGGCAACTCACATGCTGTGTACTAGTGCTAACTAACATCCAGACTACTTGTGGCAACTATCATCCAGACTACTCGTGGCAACGCGCACGCTGTGTACTAGTGGCAACTCACATCCAGACTACTCGTGCCACTCACACGCTGTGTACTTGCGGCAACTAACATTCAGACTACTCGTGGCAACTCACACGCTGTGTACTAGCGGCAACTAACATCCAGACTACTCGTGGCAACTCACACGCTGTGGACTAGCGGCAACTCACATCCAGACTACTTGTGGCTACTCACACGCTGTGTACTAGTGGCAACTCACATCCAGACTACTCGTGGCATCTCACACGCTGTGTACTAGCGGCAACTAACATCCAGACTACTTGTGGCAACTCGCACGCTGCATACTAGTGGCAACTCACATCCAGACTACTTGTGTTGCATCTCGCTCGCTGTGTACTAGTGGCAACTCACATCCAGACTACTCGTGGCAACTCACACGCTGTGTACTAGTGGCTATTTACATCCAGACTACTCGTGGCAACTCACACGCTGTGTACTAGTGGCAACTCACATCCAGACTACTCGTGGCAACTCACATCCAGACTACTCGTGGCAACTCACACGCTGTGTACTAGTGGCAACTCAAATCCAGACTACTCGTGGCAACTCACACACTGTGTACTAGTGGCTACTCACATCCAGACTACTCGTGGCTACTCACATCCAGACTACTCATGGCAACTTACGCGCTGTGTACTAGCGGCAACTAACATCCAGACTACTCATGGCAACTCACACGCTGTGTACTAGTGGCTACTCACATCCAGACTACTCGTGGCTACTCACATCCAGACTACTCGTGGCTACTCACATCCAGACTACTCATGGCAACTCACACGCTGTGTACTAGTGGCAACTAACATCCAGACTACTCATGGCTACTCACATCCAGACTACTCTTGGCAACTCACATCCAGACTACTCATGGCAACTCACATCCAGACTACTCTTGGCAACTCACATCCAGACTACTCTTGGCAACTCACATGCTGTGTACTAGTGCTAACTAACATCCAGACTACTTGTGGCAACTATCATCCAGACTACTCGTGGCAACGCGCACGCTGTGTACTAGTGGCAACTCACATCCAGACTACTCGTGCCACTCACACGCTGTGTACTTGCGGCAACTAACATTCAGACTACTCGTGGCAACTCACACGCTGTGTACTAGCGGCAACTAACATCCAGACTACTCGTGGCAACTCACACGCTGTGGACTAGCGGCAACTCACATCCAGACTTCTTGTGGCTACTCACACGCTGTGTACTAGTGGCAACTCACATCCAGACTACTCGTGGCAACTCACACGCTGTGTACTAGCGGCAACTAACATCCAGACTACTTGTGGCAACTCGCACGCTGCATACTAGTGGCAACTCACATCCAGACTACTTGTGTTGCATCTCGCTCGCTGTGTACTAGTGGCAACTCACATCCAGACTACTCGTGGCAACTCACATCCGGACTACTCGTGGCACCTTCAATGACTGGGACACAAGAGTGCCCCACATGCATGACAATCAAAGGACACACCTCTCCAACACAATCATCGACTTGATTGTTTCATTGCTGCATGCAAACATATTCTCTCAATCATGCACACTCTATCATGTCCATGTATAATATTGAAATGTAAAATATGATGGGAAATATGTGTGAAACTCATGATACTGCAAGTTTCAATTTGAGATGAGTTTTAAAACCTGAATAAACTTTACAATTTCTCTGACACTAAAAAGATTCACAGTTGATTAAGCAAAACATAGCTTCAATATCTGGAACATATGTGAACAAACTATCTCCCTTACCTTGCCACCAATAACAAGACCAGCTGAGAAGTCATGTAACTTGCCAATCTTCCGGAGCACCTCGAAAGTCTGGTATGCCAGCTCCCGTGTAGGGGAGATAATCAAGGCTCCCATCCCATCCATGGAACTCCATTTCTGTCTGTACAGGCACTCCAACACCTACAAACAGAACATCCCTCCATCAGAGTCACCTCTGTCTATACAGACACTCCAACACCTACAAACAGAACATCCCTCCATCAGAGTCACCTCTGTCTATACAGACACTCCAACACCTACAAACAGAACATCCCTCCATCAGAGTCACCTCTGTCTATACAGACACTCCAACACCTACAAACAGAACATCCCTCCATCAGAGTCACCTCTGTCTATACAGACACTCCAACACCTACAAACAGAACATCCCTCCATCAGAGTCATCTCTGTCTATACAGGCACTCCAACACCTACAAACAGAACATCCCTCCATCAGAGTCACCTCTGTCTATACAGGCACTCCAACACCTACAAACAGAACATCCCTCCATCAGAGTCACCTCTGTCTATACAGACACTCCAACACCTACAAACAGAACATCCCTCCATCAGAGTCATCTCTGTCTATACAGGCACTCCAACACCTACAAACAGAACATCCCTCCATCAGAGTCATCTCTGTCTATACAGGCACTCCAACACCTACAAACAGAACATACCTCCATCAGAGTCACCTCTGTCTATACAGACACTCCAACACCTACAAACAGAACATCCCTCCATCAGAGTCACCTCTGTCTATACAGGCACTCCAACACCTACAAACAGAACATCCCTCCATCAGAGTCACCTCTGTCTATACAGACACTCCAACACCTACAAACAGAACATCCCTCCATCAGAGTCATCTCTGTCTATACAGGCACTCCAACACCTACAAACAGAACATCCCTCCATCAGAGTCACTTCTGTCTATACGGACACTCCAACACCTACAAACAGAACATCCCTCCATCAGAGTCACCTCTGTCTATACAGACACTCCAACACCTACAAACAGAACATCCCTCCATCAGAGTCATCTCTGTCTATACAGACACTCCAACACCTACAAACAGAACATCCCTCCATCAGAGTCACCTCTGTCTATACAGACACTCCAACACCTACAAACAGAACATCCCTCCATCAGAGTCATCTCTGTCTATACAGGCACTCCAACACCTACAAACAGAACATCCCTCCATCAGAGTCACCTCTGTCTATACAGACACTCCAACACCTACAAACAGAACATCCCTCCATCAGAGTCATCTCTGTCTATACAGACACTCCAACACTTTCAAACAGAACATCCCTCCATCAGAGTCACCTCTGTCTATACAGACACTCCAACACCTACAAACAGAACATCCCTCCATCAGAGTCACCTCTGTCTATACAGACACTCCAACACCTACAAACAGAACATCCCTCCATCAGAGTCATCTCTGTCTATACAGGCACTCCAACACTTTCAAACAGAACATCCCTCCATCAGAGTCACCTCTGTCTATACAGGCACTCCAACACTTTCAAACAGAACATCCCTTCAGCAAAGTCATTTATGCAAAATGCACAAGAGGTCGGCTGTTCACAGTAGTTTGATGTCAACACTGTCATGCATATTACATGTATAATGAAAATAAATGTGGGGCACAGAAACCTCTAGTATGAGGGTCTTGTAAGGGGTTGTTACAAAACAGCAGTCGTTAAATTTGGGGCCTTTTGTCACTTGTCAGTATATTTTTGGCTCAGTCAGTACAAATACCATTTAAACAGAAGACCAGCTGTCAAGTTGACTCTAAAAGTCTGTCTGTCGGGACACATGGGGCCAGCTGGTTCTGCTTTCATTTCATTACTGTAGTTCATGTTTTGCAAACACCAAATTTTGTTGTGTCGTTGGATCCAGTTACATAGTACTTTCATGAGACCTTGATGAGCGTCAAAAATGCACAGAAAGTACTGTTGTCCAGATATACAAGTACTACAGATGTGAAGAGCATGCAACTTACAGGTGGGAGATATTCTGCTGGACTACAAGTACTACAGATGTGAAGAGCATGCAACTTACAGGTGGGAGATATTCTGCTGGACTACAAGTACTACAGATGTAAAGAGCATGCAACTTACAGGTGAGAGATATTCTGCTGGACTACAAGTACTACAGATGTAAAGAGCATGCAACTTACAGGTGGGAGATATTCTGCTGGACTACAAGTACTACAGATGTAAAGAGCATGCAACTTACAGGTGGGAGATATTCTGCTGGACTACAAGTACTACAGATGTAAAGAGCATGCAACTTACAGGTGGGAGATATTCTGCTGGACTACAAGTACTACAGATGTAAAGAGCATGCAACTTACAGGTAGGAGATATTCTGCTGGACTACAAGTACTACAGATGTGAAGAGCATGCAACTTACAGGTAGGAGATATTCTGCTGGACTACTAGTACTACAGATGTGAAAAGCATGCAACTTACAGGTAGGAGATATTCTGCTGGACTACTAGTACTACAGATGTGAAGAGCATGCAACTTACAGGTAGGAGATATTCTGCTGGACTACTAGTACTACAGATGTGAAGAGCATGCAACTTACAGGTGGGAGATATTCTGCTGGACTACAAGTACTACAGATGTAAAGAGCATGCAACTTACAGGTGGGAGATATTCTGCTGGACTACAAGTACTACAGATGTAAAGAGCATGCAACTTACAGGTAGGAGATATTCTGCTGGACTACAAGTACTACAGATGTAAAGAGCATGCAACTTACAGGTGGGAGATATTCTGCTGGACTACAAGTACTACAGATGTAAAGAGCATGCAACTTACAGGTAGGAGATATTCTGCTGGACTACAAGTACTACAGATGTAAAGAGCATGCAACTTACAGGTGGGAGATATTCTGCTGGACTACAAGTACTACAGATGTAAAGAGCATGCAACTTACAGGTGGGAGATATTCTGCTGGACTACAAGTACTACAGATGTAAAGAGCATGCAACTTACAGGTAGGAGATATTCTGCTGGACTACAAGTACTACAGATGTAAAGAGCATGCAACTTACAGGTGGGATATATTCTGCTGGACTACAAGTACTACAGATGTGAAGAGCATGCAACTCACAGGTGGGAGATATTCTGCTGGACTACTAGTACTACAGATGTAAAGAGCATGCAACTTACAGGTAGGAGATATTCTGCTGGACTACTAGTACTACAGATGTGAAGAGCATGCAACTTACAGGTGGGAGATATTCTGCTGGACTACTAGTACTACAGATGTAAAGAGCATGCAACTTACAGGTAGGAGAAATGCCAAGGTTTTCCCTGATCCTGTCTGGGCTGCCCCTAAGATGTCCAGTCCTTGGAGGGCGAGGCCGATGGATTCCCGCTGGATTTCTGTGGGGGATGTATACTTGGCGTGATCCAAACCTAAAGCAGGGATGTACATTGGGTGAACATCACTCAAATACTGTCATCATCATACATTACAAGGTATCACAAGTGCAAAATAGATTTCCAATTTGGTTTTGGACTTGATCCAGGCTCTATTTGACAGGAAAGAAAATCAGAAGATGATGTAACTTATGTTTCAACAATAAACATATTTCAACATTATGAACAAATCCAAACTATTCTCTTGTAGTCGATGCTTTGAATGTGCTAAATAACACAGAGTGCAAGGACATGATATTCCTGTTGAAATCTAATTATGATTGTTGTGACAATGTACATGTACCTAACGTAGATTGTTGTTTAATGCCTACACGAAGCATGGTAATCAGAGAACATGTTGCACTTGCAGTGAAAAAAATGAAAAATTTAAAAATCAAAATACATCATAAACAGTACAGTAAACTATGTTTATAACAAACATGCTTACAATGAACTGACAGATATACAACAAACTTTTCTTTTGTTCCCGGCCATTTGCTGTATATTTTATCATATAACATTGATGATATAACACACACACTCATAACGAAATAATGGACATAGCGAACTCACTTTGTGGTCATGTATGTACTCTATCAACAACAATGATTACCGGTATTTTAATAACAAACTGTTACGAGTCACCAATCAGCCTATGAAAATATCCATGGCCAAGCGCTGCTGTTCAAAGCGGCAATAAACAATTGAAGGCAAGTTATTAACTGGCTTACAAACTGACACTCCTCGAATGACACCCTCAATTAATAACAGTAAAACAGTGATTAGGCTACAGCCTTTGAAATCGGTATATTATGTCTATAAAATGCGACGACCAGAGTGAGGAAACGTGACTTGAACCAAGAACTCTGACAGTCGAAATGCTTTTAACAAACTATGGTTATAACAAACAATATTAGTAGTCCATTGAGTTGTTTATAACTATACCTAACTGTATTTATGTTAAATTGGTTTGGCACAGTATTTGTTATTGGAATTATGTAGTACTTTCAACTCAATGCTTTTGCATATTGGAAAAAACATGTTGTCCTTAGTTCAGGGGCATTTAAAAGTAATAACAAACCTCAACTGGGAAGCTAAGCCAACTTTTACTGTAGACTTGGGATCAATTTTCCACCTTTGAGAAATCCTATATAGACCCTGTCAGGTGTGACTGACAGTCCAACAAACTGGATCCATTGTTACTTACACCTCTAGTTGGGCTTACCTTTCAGTGTCCTTTCACACAATGGCAGATCAGCAAAGGTCTCAATATTTCCAGGAACAATCTTAAATCAAAAACAATCAAACGTGTGACTGTTAAATACAACAAAACTGACAACAGCATCCATCTTATGAAAGCTTACACCATCATAGCAATACCAACAAGATGAGTGAATCACACAATCTGCTTTCTGTATATTGCTGTGTTGTATGTTTCTGCAAACACAAACTCTTCAACACCACAAGAATCTGAAGCAAGACATTTAGGATACAGACTAAACATGAGACCAATTCAACATGTTCAAAGTCAGTGTAGAATGAATGTACCATGTATAAAGCCAGTCCTAATATCTAGCTTTTGTACTGTACAGTTAAATTGTGACCTGACAATTAACCTTGTATGACTACGCATGAGTTCCGCCCATTGGTGTGTACCATTGTGAAGAAAGGGGTAGTGGGTGGTCCGCAACAAGTAGAATGATGGATATGTGCATGTCTCAGCTAACAATTCTGGAATTGACTTGTCACACCAACCTCTTAATAGTCTTATTAGCGACACGTGTGTGCACGTGAGAGTAGTCAATTTCATTGTCATGACCTGCACGTGCACAACATGCTTACACCCTCTCTACCTGTTAGAAACCAAATATGTTTGCCCAACTTCTGTGCACTGCCTATTTATCTCAAGCGTGTTTGGTGAGTTGGTTCAACTTACCCTGGATTACAAGTAGTTGTTTTACCACAAGGATACATGTTTCTGTCCTAACCTAATATCACTGATCAGCAGTCTGTGCCGACCTCATTAGTATTTAAATCTATCTGTAGCTGCTGTGGTATTACTGGCATGATAAACTAAACTAAACTAGACTTTGGGACTTTCATTTTGGTGGAAACCTTGGTGGCTGAGTGTGGCTAGAATTTCTACTTTACTCAGAAAGTGTTATCCTAAATATAACATTTGTTACATTTGACAACTTACTAAATGGCATTTCAGCCATGGGAGCCGTGTCAATTTACACTTGTCAGAGGGGTACACAAAGTATGTGATCTAGACTACCAGTTGTTTGACTTTCATGTTTGTGGAAGCCTCAGTGGCTGAGTGGGTAAGATCGCTGACTTTGTGTGCTGGCGACTAGGTGCCTCACTCGGGCAGTGTTGGTTCGAATCCCGGACGGGACTCAACCCCACAAAACGTACTAGAATCTGTACTTTACTAAGAAAGCGTTATCCCAAATGAAACATTTGTTACATGATAAACTAGTTGACAAAAGCAGCACAACTAGTAAATAGTGTTATGGATAAGCAAGTGGGGATGTATATTTTTCGAAATTGGTTGCATCCATTGACTGATGAGATAATGATGGAAAACATTTCTTATTCCTAACAGTGATTAACATATATGTGAATATGATACCAGAGATTGTACAATACCTTATTTGAATAATTAAAAGATGTGCATTTGCTTAAATCAAAGTTAGTAAAACTTTAAATTCTGAATACTTCAGAAATAATACGAAAAAAGTCTGTGCACTGTTCTGACTCGGGTTCTGATTAAAGATGTATGATCTCATATTGCAGGTCTCTAGTTAAGCGTCTGGATGCCTTGGAGAGGTTAGCGACAGTTTTGTCTCTATTGTGGCAGATGTCAGCACAAGTGGTCCTGAATTGTAGGTAGAATGAATGTTTGTTTCTCCTACCGGTACATATTGTTTACCACATTTTGAACAGTTGAGTAGGTAGACTCTTACAGCTGAGGTGTGTATAGCACTTGTATTTCTTACCAGTAATATGGCTGCTGAACATGTTTCTAGACTTAACATTCATAAAAACTTTCCAAGCTTGTTTTTGACAACTGTCATCAATATTTTTAGCTGATTTTGGCACTTATTTGTGGTTTTCGGTAGTGGGGATGTTATGGCAGCATTCATGAGGATATCTCCTCTCGTGCAATTCTGATGGTATGCTGTAATGTGTAGGACCAGGCAGGTTTTGCTGCAGGCATCCGACCCAGTGAGGTGCCAAGAGTTTTTCATCATGAAGCTGACCAGAAGTGCAGTGGGATTGTAAATTATGTATGACACAAAAAAGTCATTAGGCCTATTGATAATAATGTTTCGGTTTCTTTATTACAATATTGAGAAATGCAGAAATTGTCTAAAATGTAATTATTCATAGATGTTTTTCGGGTTTTTTTTATGAGGAATAAGTGTTTTTCTGTAGAAAACACTAGTTCGTTCGCCAAAGTCAATATTTTATCCATGAATGACATGGTTAACAACCTCAAATAGGACCACAAAAGGAAATAAAACAGCTGCATTCTGCAAAAGAAACGCGCATGCCTTGCAAAATGAAACAACGCTGTACACCGACTGAAGTTTTCCCCGACCTAAAAGTCACACTAGCGACCACTAGATGTCTGATAGTAAACAAGCAGCAGTACATAAATAATATAACTGTTCTAAAGCCATTTGTTTCTAACAAAACCACTAATTGCTACTCTCAAGCACCCCAGTGCGGCCTGACCACGTGTTGCAGCTCGACTTACAAACTTATACCGAGATTTCAACTCGGCGATCTCACTGTCGGTAACATCCGCTAGTCTTGGCTTTCGTGTGTAATGCTGCTTCTTGAATTTCCCCTTGTGACCTTTCGATATATTGCCCTTGGGGCGATTTTGTTTATATTCTGTCTGAAATTTAGGATTCATTTTTCAAGTCCACAGAAAAAAACAATTTGGAGTGACCTCCCCTCACGCTCCTCACAGCGATACGCTCTACGTCATGATATCGAGAGGCGAAGGTGTAACGCGCTGGGAAGGAGCTTTGTCGCCCCATAACTGTGAACCGGAAGGAACCATATATAATACTGAGCCAAGTCAAAATAGCCTCATGTCAAAATTGCCTCAAAACATCAAGTCAAAACGGCCAGAGACAAAAAGTCAAACCGTCCACAACCCATCGTGAAACGGTCACACAAGATAATCACAAGGGACTCAACAAGAAAAGCCAACACACAAAAACAAAGACAACAAACTCAACTATTATATATATAGCACATAGCCTAGCTTTCACTTGCACGGAGTTCAGCTTCCCACGAACATAGCAATGTGGAGCTGATCCATGACTTAGAGGTGACAGTGGTGTTGAGAGTATGGGCTACAGTGGCTGTACCCTTACATAATATATAACACTACAGGAAAAAGTCATTGATCCATTGATTAGGGCGCTAATATCCTTGGTTTTTCTCGGCCGTCTGACACCACTGGCTCGCTAACGCGCCTGAGCGTGATAACAGAATGGGCTACCATCTGCAAGGACAGCTAAATAAACTTGGAGGCGATATTTGTTTTACGCATTTTTGAACACGTATGTTAACCGTGATCTATGAATATTACTATGGGCGGCCATTCGGTTAAAAAATACAAAGTTAAAAAAAAGGACAAAAGTACACAATAAAGGTCAAATATTACGAATAAAGAACTAAATGTTACTAATAAAGGTCAAAATACAAAACAATGAGACGCCGGTTAAAAAATAAAAAGTTGAAATGAAGGTCAAAAGTACACAATATTAATAGTCAAATGTTATGAAAAAACGGCATAAGAAAAGAAAGAACAATGTGTACGAAAGAACGTCAGTGAGCACGAAAGGACGTTAACAATAAAGAAAATCGATTTTCCTCTATGACACCACGGACCCATACAAGTCCGTGATGACACCAGCGTTCGTTTTCAAACTAGATTTATTTCGCTTGTTTATATTTGTGACCAAAACAAGTTGTCAGTTGATGCCGAAATGTACGCGTAATTCAGGGATGTATGTATCGCAGCTGTGTGTGAAACATATGTGATGTTATAGGCGTCTCATAACCGGCATACGTGAAACGTGACTTTGTAAACACTATCCAATATGGCGGAAAGTTCGCTTCGGCGTTCGTGATTGCTTATTTTCTAGAACATTTTAAACGATTCTAGGGTTAATAAAAATTAGACGTTTCTTAAAAAAATGGAGCCCATTTCTCTTTTAAATGCTTTATATAAGATTATTAGCACTTGTATAACAAATAGGATAAAAAAGACACTGGATCTCCTTATCAACGATAAACAGACAGGATTTATACCAGGTAGGTGTATAAGCGAAAACATTAGACTCCTATATGACATCATCTTCGAAACAAAAAGATTAAAGAAGAAAGGCCTATTAATATTAATTGATTTCGAAAAAGCCTTTGACAGAGTTTCTAAGCGATTCATAGTGAAGGTTTTAGATAAATTTGGTTTTGGAACTTATATGCAAACATGGGTAAATATCCTGATCTCAAACTCTACTTCTTGTGTCATACAAAACGGTCACTTGTCTTTCTTTTTTTTCAGCAACGAGAGAGGATGTAGACATGGAGATCCGATTTCCCCATACTTGTTTCTTTTCGTCGCAGAAATACTAGGCATAATGATAAGAAAAAATACAAATATAAAAGGTATAGTCCTTGGAGAAAGTGAGCACGTAATATGTCAATATGCCGATGACACCGAACTATTTTTAGATGGCCCAGCAACGTCTCTAAATGAAGCAGTAAATACACTGAGTAAGTTCTATAGAATGTCTGGCTAAAAAATAAACACAGACAAAACTAAAGCTGTATGGATAGGCTCAATGGCAGGGAGTTCACTCACATTATGTCCCGATTTGACATTGGACTGGCACAACGCAGATTTCGATGTACTTGGAATTAAACTAAACGCTGATTTGATAAACCTTTGGGTTATCAACACTAGAAGAAGACTAGAAACAATTAGAAGAATTATTTCAAACTGGCGGAAACGCAACTTGACATTAATAGGGAAAATAACCGTAATAAAAACCTTGGCTTAGTCAAGTATAGTTCATATATTAACTGCTTTACCAAATCCCTCCAAAAGAATTTATAAAAGAATTAAACAGCATTTTTTTCAATTTCATATGGAATGGAAAGAAAGACAAAATAAAAAGAGTAAACCTAGTTCGAAAAGATGGTGGCCTTAGAATGGTTGATTTACCAATGTTTATTTACTCACTTAAGGTATCGTGTATCAAACGATATATTTCCAAACCAAACAGCTACCCTCTTTCAGGCTTTCCCTTACAAGATATCTTCCGTTTGGGTGCTAATATTAAAAAAACACTTCAATATCACAAACCCATTTTGGAAAGACACATTAGACGCTTGGAACAAATACATAAAAACGCACTGAATAAACGAAAACGATGTTAATGAAATTTTAATGCAACCATTGTGGTACAATCATAAATGTAATTTCCGGATTTCATTATTAGAAATTGGTATACAAGGGGTATTTGCCATATAAAGGATTTATGTGACTCGAACGGCTTTATTCCATTCCCTGAGCTGAAAATAATGTATGGTATAAAAGGTACTTTATTGGACTATAACCGTTTGCTTTTAAACATCCCGAAGCCATGGAAAGATCTTGTGCATGATTCAAATAATCTAAACACAATGCAACTAAACATTTCTTCTCCATGGCTTGATTTACTTAAGACAAGCAAAGGTTCTAGGATATTTTATGACGACTTCATTTCATCATCTAACTTTCCAGAAATTTGTAAGAAGTGAGAACAAGAATTGAACAATGAAATTAATTGGAAATATGTATTTTTACAATATAGAAAATCTACAATTGATACAAAATTATTAGAATTCAAATTCAAATTTCTACACAAAATTATATACACCAAAAAGGAATTGTTAATGATGAACTTGGTTGACAACAACCTTTGTTCATTTTGCAATTCAGACAGTGAAAACATCGCTCATGTATATTTAGAATGTTCTTGTGTTTAAGAATTCTGGGACGAATTTAATTCTTTCATAAACGTTATTTTCGGTCATGTTTTCATTACAAAACAAGATATCTATTTTGGAGATATAAACAACATCTTATTAAATCACTTATTGATATTGGCAAAACGACACATTTACGTTACACATATTAAAGGAGTAAAACCATATTTTAAGTCATACAGAAATATACTGAAAGATATTTACCATGTCGAATTGTTCCTTGCAAAAAGAAACGGAACAATTATTTCTTTCACTAAAAAATGGAGTTTAATGGAGAAAACCATAACGCAGACGAATTAGCTTCCTTGATCTATATCTCTTACAATTTTACAAAGTATGAAAGGTGAACCTACTGTCATATCACTTCCTGTACATTTTTCTCATTATAATTAACATGTAATTGATGCCTCTTATGATACGATGACTATGTACCCTCTGGAATGAATAAAAACAATTTTAAAAAAATAATTGGTGTATATTATATATATAATATATTATATTAGCAAGAACTAAGATCTGATTTTAATGAGATTGTGTGACCATACGTACTGTCAATCAAAGTGACAAATGCGCTTACGAATGGCGCAGCACAGGTCGCAAACTGGTCCAGATTTCTGCTGCAACACCCGGGTACCCACGAGGGAAAAAACAACCAGTCCCGGGGAATTGCTTTAGATCAGTGCCCTTTAAATATATGAAACTTGTTGCCATGAAAACACGAAAAACGTGTTGTTTTCTTCAAAATCCCAATTATCTAAATGCAACAGTTCAACACTAGACCTATCTAATATCTATGTTCCAGGTTTGGTGAAGATACAATGAATGGGTTTCAATATCTGCCCCGGAACCGACCTCTTGCCCCCGCTACCGATTGGTTCTTGTCCTGTCGTATGCGTCTATTCATGTCATCCCTGACATGTTCTATGGAAATGTCTGGAGAAACAACGACCATAGCTGTACAGCAATGTATAAGCTGCCTCAAAATGTTTGTTACAACACGTGCAATATGTGGACGGTCATTATCCTGCTGCAACGTGACGTTACGTCCCTGCATTTGAACAAAGAGTGTAACATGATCTCGAACGATGTCGCCCCGGTTGCCTACGTCATTGAAATTGCCATTAACAGTGATGAGTTGTGTTCTTCCATGAGTTGTGATGCTACCACATACCATTTCACTTCCATTCCCAAACTAAAACGTTCTCCTGGACGCTTGTAGAACCCTGCACGACCATCAGAACTGTCCAGATGAAACCGGACTCATCTGTGAACAGTATACTGTCCCAGTCTTGTCTTCTGAACCTCAGATGCTGTCTACACCGAGATAGACGTGCCTGGCGGTGACGTGGAAGCAACATTGGGCGTATCGCTGGACCCCGGGGCCTGATGTTGTGATCCCTCAACCCAATGAGTCTTAACCCAGAAATTGTCCGACCTTTTAAATGTGACAGATTGGTATCGTTTCCGTAGATGCAATAATTGAAAATGGTTGTCTTGCTGACGTGGCGTTACATGTGGATGACACGCCCGTGGCAATTCATCAATGTTGCCCTGCTGTAGATAACGTAGATGTGTTGAGATCAACTCGTGAAGGTGATGTGTGGAGATCATCTCATGTAGGTGATTTGTTGAGATCATCTCGTGTAGGTGATGTGTTGAGATCATCTTGTGAAGGTGATGTGTTGAGATCATCTCATGTAGGTGATGTAATGAGATCAACTCGTGAAGGTAATGTGTGATCATCTCATGTAGGTGATATGTTGAGATCATCTCATGTAGGTGATGTGTTGAGATCATCTTATGTAGGTGATGTGTTGAGATCAACTCGTGAAGGTGATGTGTTGAGATCATCTCTTGTAGGTGATGTGTTGAGATCATCTCGTGAAGGTGATGTGTTGAGATCATCTCATGTAGGTGATGTGTTGAGATCATCTCGTGTAGGTGATGTGTTGAGATCATCTTATGTAGGTGATGTGT